GCACATCCCCTCACACGGTTCGTGGCCCCGCGCCACCCATTTTTGGTACACCCCTTCACACGGTTCGTGGCCCAATATGGAGTTCCACCTAAAGCTCCAGTGGCGACGTTCCCATGCGTCCGCGCCATTCATTTTTGGCGCACCCTCCACACGGTTCGTGGCCCCGTAGGAAGCTCCACTTAAGGCCCCAATGGCAACGTTCCCATGCGTCCGCGCCACCCATTTCGGCACACCCTTCACACGGTTCGTGGCCTCATAGGGAGCTCCACCTAAGGCCTCAGTGATGACGTCCCCATGCGTCCGCGCCACCCATTTAGGCGCACCCCTCACACGGCTGGTTGCGCATAGGGAGCTCCACTTAAGCCCTCAATGGCGACGTTCCCACGCGTCCACGCCACCCATTTCGGCACACCCCCTCACACGGTTCGTGGCCCCGCGCCACCCATTTTTGGCATACCCTTCACACGGTTCGTGGCCCCATGTGGAGCTCCACCTGAAGCTCCAGTGGCGACGTTCCCATGCGTCCGCGCATTCATTTTTGGCGCACCCTCCACACGGTCAGTGGCCCCATAGGGACCTCCGCTTGAGGTCCCAGCGGCGACGTTCCCATGCGTCCACGCCACCCACTTTGGCGCACTCCTCACACGGTTCGTGGCCCCATAGGGAGCTCCACCTAAGGCCTCAGCGGCGACGTTCCCGCGTCACGTTGGGTCCTTCGCCATTTTTTTTTTTTTTTTTTTTTTTTTTTTTTTTTTTTTTTGTTTGTTTTTTTTTGGGGGGGTTTTCTGGGGATGGACCCAGACATGCGCGCGCCGTTAAAGTTCATCACGACGGATTGTGATTTTTTCCGGCAGTTTTCAGCATCGCTGGGCCTTCGCTGGGTCATGGTTGGGAGGACTTTTGGGGACTTTTGGGCGCCCCAGAGGTTTTCGGGCCTTCTTTGGTCTCGGGAGGCGCTCTGGGGCCCTCTCGGGATCTCCACGGTCTGGGCCTCCTTCCCCCCGTCCCCCGAGGATCCTGGTGTCGCAGGTCTGCCAGCTCTGCTGCGCGCGAGCAGAAGGCGCGCCCCGACGGGGCATCCATGAAACAATGAGACACGCCCATTCGGCCACATGCTGGGGAGATGAATGGGGCACCTCGCAAAGATCGAATAATCGAGGCGGCCAGACCGTCGCCCGTTTCGGCGCGCCTGGAGGCGGTTCCCGGGCTTCGGCACGTTGTTCGACACGGGGAGCGGGCCCTGGGGAAGGGGTCGAGAGGTGCCGGGGCGCACGCGTCGAACAAACCGTGGGGAGGGGAGAATGAGGGAGGAGGAGTGGTGATTTCGAAGCTTCCAATCATCCTAGGGCCCACCTGTCGGCGGCGCGCCCAGAGGGAGAAGGTGGAGGGGGCGGGCCTCCTCAGCAGGCACAGGGCCCCCCTGGGCCTTTTGAGAAACTGGTCCAGGCCCTCTCCGAAGCCACAAGGGGACTTGCAGCGGAAGATGCCGAGGCTCACGCCGAGGACGGCGAGAGGAGGAGGAGGAGGAGGAGGAGGAGGAGGAGGAGGAGGAGGAGGAGGAGAGGAGGAGGAGGAGGAGGAGGAGGAGGGGAGGAGGAGGAAGGAGGAGGAGGAGGAGGAGGAGGAGAGGAGGAGGAGGAGGGAGGAGGAGGAGGAGGAGGAGGAGGAGGAGGAGGAGGAGGAGGAGGAGGAGGAGGAGGAGGAGGAGGAGGGAGGAGGAGAGGAGGAGGAGGGAGAGGAGGAGGAGGAGGAGGAGGAGGAGGAGGGGAGGAGGGAGGAGGAGGAGGAGGAGAGGAGGAGGAGGGAGGAGGAGGAGGAGGAGGAGGAGGAGGAGAGAGGAGGAGGAGGAGGAGGAGGAGGAGGAGGAGGAGGAGGAGGAGGAGGAGGAGGAGAGGAGGAGGATGAGGAGGGAGGAGGAGGAGGAGGAGGAGGAGGAGGAGGAGGAGGAGGAGGAGGAGGAGGGCTTCCGAGAAACCTCGTCGTTTCCCGAGGGGGGCTGCCCCCTCTCATTTTCCTCTCGGGCGCGCCGCCGACCCTTCTGCGGCCCCCTGGTCGCCGCAGCCTGATCCATCACGCGAGTCCTGGCCAGGGTGCGCTCCGGGAAACGTCGCGCGGGTGATTTCGATCGGGTGTTGCTAGAAGTACCCCTGGCCCAAGGTACCCCCAGGATTCTCGGGGTGGCCCAGGCGGCTTCCAGGGCACCCCTCACGAGTTCCACGGGACCCCGGGGGCTCCAAAATGGAGCGAAAAGCTGGGGGCACCTTAGAGCAGGGGCACTTCTAGCAACACCCGATTCGAGGGAGAGGATCCCGACATCCTGACGCCGTGGACAGGTATTTTGCGCCCGGCGTTGCTGTCCCAGCTCGGGCCCCGGGACTGGCCCAGATGCATCCGCTCGATGCGTCCCCCTCCTGGCGCCAGCGTCAACCTGCATGCAGCGGTTTGCCTTACACTTTGGGTTCTTCATACTGCTTTGGCAAGCGATAAATATTTAGCGTGTGAACTGTCACGACGAACAGGTGGCCGCCCGCAGTGAAGAGGCGATCGCTGCCTCCCTCCCTTGGAATAGTGAGTCGAACGATGAGGTTGAGGGTTGAACATCAGCAGCATTACCTGACACACTTCGCGAATTCTAGCGAGCGAAGCATGAGCGGGGGAATATTGAGCACCCCGAAAAAACCATAGTGTCCATCATTGCGGTCTGGGGTCGGGAGTTCTGCCTGTGATTTGTGTTTTGACGCTGTGTGTTTTGCATGTCGTCGGTTTGTCGGCCTCTGGGGGGGTCATTGGCAAGAGAGTGTTTCTTTATTGCTTGGGGCATGACGGGCGTCGTGGCCCCCGCCCCCCCCCCCCCTACGACGTAACGCTTCCCCCCCCCAGTGCGCTCCGGGCACTGCCGCCGTGCGCATCGGGATCCGAATAGACGCCCGCACAGGAATCCGCATAGGAGTCTGGTCCGCAGTGGTCGTCGTCGTCGTCGTCGCCGTCGTCGTCGTCGTCGTCGTCCTCGTCCTCGTCGCTCGTCGCTCGTCGCTCGTCGCTCGTCGCTCGTCGCTCGTCGCTCATCGTCGCGATGCGCACGGACGCGGCTGGAGCCTCGGTTTTGATTCCGGGCCAATGACGGCAGTCATCTGGGGGGGAAGCGGCCGATGACGTCCGGCGGCGTCTGGGAATGCCCAGGAATGACCGAGGATCGGTAGGTAGCAGCAGCATGTAGGTGGCGATCTGCACCATAGCGCGCGCCTGTGTGCACCACAGTGCCTGCGTGCACTACAGCGCTTGTGTACACCACACCGCTGAGGTACACAGCAGCCGCGTGCAACGCAGCGCCAGTGTGTGCCACAGTGCCAGCGGGCACCACAGCGCTTGTGTACACCGCAGCGCCTGCTTACACCACATCAGCCGTGCGCAACAGAGCACCAGAGTGCACCGCAACGCCTGCGTGCACAACAGCTCCTGTGTACACAAAGGCGCCTGCGTGCACCACTGTACCACAACAGCCGTGTGCAACAGAGCACCACGGTTGCATATTCAATTTTTTAATGAGTCTTTGATAAAATGGAACACTTGTGGGTTCCACAGCAAAATATTGTTTTATTTAGGATTCGGGAAGGAATCCTTATGGGAAAAGGAACGCCGCTGGAATCTACGAGTCCTCCCGAGTCCGCCCGCATCATCCTAACTCCTCTCTTCTGCGTCCAGGAGGCTCAAGCAAAATTGGCCGTCCGAAAGGGGGGAAGGGTGAGGAAGGAGGAGGAGGAGGAGGAGAAGGTGGAGGTGGAGGAGGAGGGAGGAGGGAAAATCGCCGCATTCTACTATCAGCACTTCCCTGGCGTGGCGTTTAACTGTCCGCGGCAGATCCTCACCTACATGCTCCTTCTACCTGTCCTGTGCACGCAGGCGCTGTGGTGCACACCAGCGCTGCGCTGCGTTGCACGCGGATGCTGTGGTGTAGACAGGCACCGTGGTGTGCACAGGCGCTGTGGTGCACGCAAGCATTGTGGTGTACACAGGCGCTGTGTTGCACATGGTTGCTGCGGTATACACATTTCGCTGTTGTGTACACCGGCGCTGTGCACCGTGGTGTACACAGGCGCTGCATTGCACACGGCTGTTGCGGTGTACGCAGGCGATGTGGTGCATACACGCGCGCTGTGGTGCACGCGAGCATTGTGGTGTACACATGCGCTGTGGGACAGATCGCCACCTACATGCTGCTCGCGTCATCGTCGTCGTCGTCGCGTCGCTGGTCGCTCGTCATGCATACTCGTCGGAGTCACACGGCGGGGGGGGGGTCGTTGGTCGTTACGTCATACCTCCCCCCGCTCCCCCCTTTGACCCTTCGACGTCCGCCATCGCCGAGAATAACGAAACGCTCTCCATGTCTGGACAGTTTTTCGCAGGATCGCGGCCACCCGGGGCCAGTTTCGGCCCTCTTGAGGCCATCGTGGGCTCTTTGTCCTTGAGGCCATCTGGGGCAAGTTGGGGCCTATGGGCGTTATCCTGGGCGTTTTGAACCGATGTTGATAACACTCACGGATTCAACTGGTGACATGCGGCATGGCACTAAATCGAGGATGAGTTTCAGTTTTCGATTCTAGGAGGCCACCTTGGAGGCCATCTTCTGCCATGGTTGGGGATGGGCATCTTCCGTTCAAAGCTTCATTCGATTCATTTTCCACTCAGATTTCAATCTGGCCCAATCGCAAACATGGCGAAGCCAGAGTTATATTGACATCAATATGAGGCCATATCGAATTCACCAATACCCGCATCAGGCCAAAGTTATGAGATCAAACGCAGGCTGACGACAGGTCGAAGTCAGACCAAACTTGGACCGATATCATACCGAACTTAGACCAAGGTCAGAGCTAGACCGAAGCAAGAACATGGCATCTTTGCAGTCATTCTGGCCCAAGACATCGGCGCCAGGGTACAGTGTCTAGCGCACGGTGGTATCTGAGCTTGTATTGGGCTTCGTCGTTTGTAAATATTGTTTGATGGCGATGTCGGGTATTGTGGCACTTATCCTTGCGTCATCAGCCCCACATCTTCTCGGCAGCCGCATCGATATCAACATTGAGCAGCGTGCAGCCCAGTTGGCTGTCCAGTCTTCCATGCGCAACGACGACATCACCTCACAGAAGCACATAATCTGCCCAGTGTTGAATGCTCTCGTGCAGAATGGCGACATGAAGACGAATGGCGAAAACGTGGATGCAGACACCGTCATCAATTCGCTCATGCGTGCTGGGCTCAATCAGCCAGAATACAAAGGCGATCCTTTGTCTCCTGGCCTGACGCAAAGCAACGCGTTTGAATACACGTTAGGCATCTTCCTGAAGAACAAGGCGGGCAACTACCGCGATGAGGACGGGGATCTGACGCTCCCGATCTACAACTTTCCCGGGACCAACCACGAGCACAACAGCCACACGGGCATCACCACGCAGAAAGGAGTCCCGTTCGACGCCGATCGGTGGGACGAGTTGGCCGTTCGAGCTGATCGCAAGCTTGCCGACGGGACGGGCTGCTTCTCGCGCGACGCGTGGGCCGAGGCCATGCGATCTTTCGAGATGAGATACTACAACGGCACGGGTGGCCGCAAAATTGACAACAGCAATGTTCGTTCAGGTCACGCTATCACATCACCAGAGGCCAAATTGGGTGGCGGCTGGTTGATAGGTAAGTTGCTAAACCACGGTGCATAGAACGGCAACGAAATCGGTGGCAAGCGGCTCGTCGCAGGTGTCTCACAAGTGTTCAATGGCATGGTCAACCTTTTCTGGACGGGCGATTATGGCCACCTCGAGTTGTACAAGGCGCGCGCCAAGCAGCTCGAGTCGCCAGAAGGAAAGTCTGGTTTGAGCTTCCCATGGCTCGACGCGAACTTCTGCTTGCCGGTCGACGAGCTGAAGGCGCTTCTTGTAAATGGCACTTACCCCAGGTCGAGCGGCTACAACGCAATGGTGAAGGATGAATACCAAGAGCTGGGCAAGGTATGGAAATACCCCAAGTCGCGTTGCACGGCACCGTATTTTCAACAGGGACATGAAGGATACGACCCCAATGATGCTTGCATCAATGGCGAGCCTCCCCTCGTCGACAAGTCAGTCGTGGCAACTTGGGCCAAACGGTCTGCACTCCACGTCATGTTTGGGAAGAGGTAGGGTGCAGATGCCAAGTAGCCTAGACTCGAGACGGACAGCGACCCTCGCGAGACTTCGGTGCAGCGTCGCGCGCGCATGCACTGCCACTCGCTTCGACAAGGAGCGGCGTGGTGGGCCAGGCTAGGAGGACCCTTTTCGGGGGGGTAGCAGCGCACATCCACGAGCAACCAAGTAAAGTTTGAGGGGGAAGGGATGGCGGAGGGATGCCATTTTGTGCCGACGTCCACTGCCCTCCCGGGGCAGGCGCCGCACGGAGCTTGCATGGTCTGGGCGACCGGCTGCTCCTGGCATCTGGCGACGGGATGCCGTGAGTCTCGTCTGTCGGGGGCAACGTTCGGGGGGCGCAGGCTCAGGGGTGGACCCCTTGGCCCCCGGGTAGCCAACTCATTGCCGCCAGGGGTCTGGCAGCCCGCTCCGCCAAGGAGCGTGCGGATTGGCGGTTGCGAGCCTACCGCCGAGCCATCGTCCATGCTTTGCTGATTCCAGGTCGATGTTCCCCCCCCCCCCACCCTGAGCTGTTCCCCCCCTGCTCTTGCCCCTCGCACGAATCGCTTCTTTGTTGGGGCCGGCAGCCTACTCGGGGGACGCCCCCAGGGTGCTGCGTGCGTGCCCGCAGGGCCAGCACGGACTGGTGGACCAGCCGTGCTCAGCTTTGAACATCTGCCTGCTCCGCCCCCCCCTCCCACCGTCTGTAGCAAGTCATGGGAGCCTTGCGTGTCCTCGTAACTCGGTCTTTGGAGTGCCCTCGCACACGCCGGCGTGCGCTAGCGCCTGGTGATCGATGAGACAGCGCCGACTTGGCGTCGAGTCGCACCGATGACGTCGACTCCGGGTCGAGAGGCGGCGGTTCGCGAGAGCCAAGCAGGCTGGCACCGGAGGTCCCCATGACTTGCCTAGGGGGCCACATGCGAACCCTACCCCTACCCCCCACGATTTCTGAGGAAGAGGGTGGGGTTCACTTCGTTCGGGAGCTCCCGAGCGAAGTGAACTCCACCCTCCCCCTCAGAAATCGTGGGGGGTAGGGGTAGGGTTCGCATGTGGCCCCCTATTGCCACCGAGCCCCCCTCCTCTCTCCGCAGCCCGCCCGAGGCGCACCGCACGGGCGGCGCGGCCTGGGTGGCCAGCCGCCCGTGGCTCCCCGCTCCCCGGGAGAGCTTCGCCCGCGCCGCCGGGGAAAACTCGCGGGCTCACCACCCACCAAACCACCCCAACCCAACCCGAAGGCCTCAATTTGCCCTCCATTTCCAGTGGGGGGGGGTCGGGAAACGTCGAAAAAACACATGTGGAACCCTTACCCCCCCCAACCCGAAATTCGGGTCTTCGGGTTGGGTTGGGGTGGTCTGGTAGGTAGTCACGGGCGGGGAGCACTCCGCGACCCCCTTGGCGAACCTCGGGGCAGGTTCGCGTCGTGTCGGCCGGCGGCGACCCTGCCCCGTGCGTTCAGCGTCGAACGCCGCCGGCGACCCAGAATCGGTCGATGTGGAACGATCGGGCATTTCGGCACCAGTCGATGGTTCAGGGTTCAACGATCCTTGAAGAGAAAAAAACGGCATGAACATAACCTTTCGACGGTCCGCGCGGATTTCTTGGATCGCTGCTGGGCCCCACTGGCGGCGCCTCCGTCGCCGCCCCTGGTGCGCTCCGCGCGCCAGCAAGGGAATTCTCGCGCCGATCCAAGAAATCCGCGCGGACATCGGGAAGTTTGTGTACATGTGGTGATTTGGTTCTCCAACTCTGCGATCACTTGCGAACCCCACCACTGAGGGCCCAATCGACGCTGGGGTATCGGACACCCTCGCCGGGATGCGCCCGTCTGCAGATATTGAACATCACACGTTCTTATGGCTATCCCTGGCCATATCAAAACGTAAGGACGTTTTTTTGTTTGTTTGTTTTTTTTATGGCCACCGACATGGCCACCGGTAGCCATAAGAACGTGTGATGTTCCATCGCTTCTGCGGCTGCAGACATCCCTGCGGTGCTGAGCCCCAGCCAGTCTGTCAGAGGTCTGCTCTGCAGGGGCAGGGTTCGCACGCGGTGCGGCTGAGTGTGGCTGCCCGGAATACGTCCTGATCCACAGCCTCGCGGCCCGGACTTCTCGGCCGCGGCCCCGTGGGCGCGGGGCGGCGGCGACTCGCGCGGGTGCCCCGCACCGAGCGTGCGCACGTCCATGGGCTCGCGACTCGGTTCGGAGGCCTGGAGGTTGACACCAACACTGATATCGGCGGTGGCCTCCGAGGGAAGATGCCCCCGATCTCGGTGATGGTGGTAATATTCAGGCTCCGTAAGTGGCCGAACTATCACCACCAACACCAACATCCAGGATCATCTTACCCCTGTGGAGGCAGCCTCCTGTGTTGGTGCTGGTGCCAATTTCCAGGCCTCCAGAGATCGCTGGACAGGCAGACAGAGGCCTTGCGTCCAGGTGGACGCGTTGGCAGGAAAATATACGGATACAGCCGAACGCTGCAATCCGAGGGTCGGCGGCATTCGAAGCACAGAGGCGTGGCCGAGCGCCATACCTTGAAGACGACAACGATCGACGAAGACGAAGGATGAAGATGACAGATCGCTAGGGCATGGGAAACAACTCGGTGTCCAGATCGTTATTGGTTTTGTTCGTCGCTCGTGGGGGAACTTGCAGCAAATTATGGGAGCCTTGTAATTCCGTCTTTAGAGTGCGCTCGCGTGCGCTAGCGTCTGGTGATCTATGAGCAAGCGCCGATTTAGCGTAGCGTCCATTTAGCATCGAATTGCATCGATTAGCGTCGATTGGCGTTGGTCAGCGTCGATTTGCAAGAGCCAGCAAGATGGCATGAGAGGTCCCCATGAGCTGTGACCGAAGAGACTGGCAAAACATGAAGGGCACATGCATGAGGCGGCAGCAACGGCCGCGGCGTCCTCCTCGCCCCTATGCTCGCGGCAGCCTGCGCTCAGGTGAGTCGGTCCGGCCTTCTCCTGGCAGATCTGGTTCTCCCACTGCCCCTCCCCCTGCTGTTTTTCGCCCCTTTTCCAGCCCCTTCTCCCCTCTCCGTCCCCCTCTCCTACCTCCATCCGCCCCCTTGCCTTCCCCCCTCCTCTCCTGTCTTTCTCCCCAGAGCTCCCTGGAGGTCCCTGGAGGTCGGAGGCCTCTGGAGGTCCGTGGAGGTTGCCGGTGGGGGAGGTCCAAGGGTGCTTCCGAAGGCCTCGAGGGGTCTTCGGCAGACCCGGTGAGCAGAAGGCGAACCTCGAACCACGGCCATGACGATGGCGTTGGCGGCGGCGGCGGCGGCGACGGCGACGGTGGACGACAGTCGACGCACGACGACGGCGGGGACGACGGACGACGTCGATGACGACGACCGGCGACGGCGACTGCAGACGGCGACGACGGAGAATCGGCGCCACCTAAACATACTTATACTATGTATGCGTCGGCCACGCAAGGGAGACGCGTGTGCCCAGAAATCGTATAGAATGTGCTCCGTTGCGGGCGTTTTCTGGCCATATCGCTAAGGAAATGATCTACTATAAGATGTTCTGCTACATGTTCGGGTGGGACGTGCGTCTCCAATATTAGTACATAGTTCTAGTAGTCGAGTGTCCAGCTGCCTGCGACAAGTCTCGACACCGTGCCATCCTAGCACTTTGGACCTCGACTGTTCGAATGATGATGGTGATGGTGATGGTAGTGGTGGTCATGATGATGGGGATTGCGATGGCGACGGCGACGATGACGACGGCTTCATGCGTCCCAGAGAACGCGTCGACGGTGGCGACGACGGACGACGACGGACGAGGACGGCCGGCGGCGACGGCGACGACGCGTCTGCGGCGAGGCCGTGCGCTGGGCATGCGCCGTTGGGCCCGCTCGGGCGCGCCGGGCGCCGCCGGGAGGCGCGGAAGGACGTTGCCGCCGCCGCCGCCGCCGATGTGGGTGCCCAGACATCGGGCGTCTCGGAAGAATCTTGACGGAGGTTTTGCCTCGTTTTCGGCCTTTGCGGGCCTTCGCCGGGCCTCGGGGCCGTCTACAGAACGATTCGGGTATGTCCTCGCCGCCACTGTCGTCGTTCCCTTCAGTGTCGGCGGCGCTGGCCGTAACGTAAGGCCTTCGCAACATCGTTCTCTTGCGGGGGCAGGAGGCCGCGTGGATTTGAAGCCTCGGACGTCTGCAGCGCTGGCGTGTCAGCCTAACACCTACGTTCCCCGACGCGTCTGAGTTCTGGCGTCCCCTGGCGCGTCGTGGCCCGTCCGTTTCGGTACTGTCCATCGCCTTCGTGCCTCGTCCCTTCGCCAGAGAGGCCATCACTCCCATACTCGGTTTCGCCGACGGAATCGTCCACCTGGGCGCTCTGCGCTCTGTGCTCCGGGCCCAGCATTTCTCCACCGCGGCCCCCCGGGTACCGCTTCAAGTTCTACCGCTTCACGGCCCCCAGGCCCCCAGCCTGCCATGGGCTGCTCGCAGCCGCCCGTTGCTTCTACAAGGTTGTCCACCTCATGTTCAATGTTCTTCCGGTCTCGGCCGTGGACGTAGTCGGCACGCCCGTGGAAGTCTACGTGATTTGAGCGGCTCTGTCTTCTCCTCTCCTCTGTTCTTCCCGCGCTCCGCCGTGCTTCAATCGGCTTGCGGCGCGCCCCGCGCCCGGTTCTCGACAGGCGCCCCTGCACTTGCTTTGGCTCTCGCGCCCGCTGACTTCAAATTCGGGTGTTTGTATCTCCTGCCTGGGGGTCTGCCCCCACTCCAGTGTACGGCCGCGCATCTTCTCATGTGCCTAGCAGCCTGGAGCCTCGTGGGCCCCCCATCCCCGCGGGGCGACGACGACGACGACGACGACGATGACGGCGGCGACGACGACCACGGCGACGACGCACAGCGCAGAACGGTCAGGGGCAGCGCGGCGGCGGCATGTTCGCCCCAGAGCTGGCCGGCCAGAAGTCAGGCCGCCGCCCCCGTAGGGGGGAATGAACGACGACGGGCGACGACGACGTCGTTGGGCCTGGTGGGCGCCGAGCATCCGGTTCACCTGAACCAAGACCGCGGCGTGGCGGATTTCAGTTTTGGAGCCGAACTGAACACTGCATGCGCGTTTCTTGCGATTTCGGCGTCTGCGGGCCCTCACGTTGGCACCAACACCAGTATGGGCGGTTGCTTCCATCGATGGAAGCTGATCCTGATTTGTGTGAAGGTGGTAAGATTCGTGCTTCTTGGGTGTCCAAGAGATTACCACCATCACCAAAGTCCAGAATCATCCTCCCCTGGTGAAGGCATCCCCCGTGTTGGCGTCGGTCCCATTTTCTGGCGACCCCAGCCTCCGCAGACCAAATACCCGCGGCGAAGCACGTGTCCCAGGGAAGGGATCGGGACCGTGGGAGCTCACGTACTGCAAATCACGCCCATCCTTTCCCCATGGCGCTGAAATCTGTTTTGTCCGTCGATGGGTGTCCTCGAGGACTTCGATCCCCGGGTGGCAGTCGCAGGACCTGGCACGTCGCCTGCCGTGCAGTCGGGCAGGGAAGGAAAAGAGGTGCTCCTCCTCCTCCTCCTCTTCCTCCTCCTCCTCCTCCTCCTCCTCCTCCTCCTCCTCCTCCTCCTCCTCCTCCTCCTCCTCCCCCTCCTCCCCCTCCAGAGGAGCAAGACAGCACGAGGAGCAACGCCGGGCGGAGGAGGGGGACGGATGGGGGACGGCGACGACGGTGCAGGGGCAGGTTCAGGAGTGTGGCCCACGCTTTGGCAAGAGCGCAACGTTTGAAGGACGGGAGCACTGCGCCGACGCCGACATGCTGGAAGCGCTGCAGCTGGAGCAGCATTGCTCAAGGGCGGGAAACGTTCCGATCGAAATTACCCCAGTGCGACCCTACCTAGAAGTTGGAGCCCCTAGGAAAGCAGCATTAGTTGCTAAGCTATGCTATGCTATGCTATGCTATGCTAAGCTGCGCTATGCTATGCTATGATATGCTATGCTGCGCTATGCTATGCTATGCTAGGCTATGATTGGCTATGTTATGATATGCTATACTAAGATGAAACAAGCTAAGCTACTATGCTATGATAACGCTAAGGTAAACCTGAGCTAACATGAAGCTACTAAGGTAAGCTACTAAGGTAAGCTAAGCTAATATAAACCCGAGCTAATATGAAGCTAAGCTAAGCTAAGATGACATAAGCTAAGCTAAGATGAGATAAGCAATGCTAAGCTAAGGGAACGTAACTGGGGGAACCGCGGGGCGGATACTGGGGGAACCGCCCGGGGCGCTTTCCACTGCCCGGCCCCTTTAAGCCCACAGAGTAAGAACCCTTAGCACCTAGGCAATACAAACGTTTGACATCTTGTGTTTGGTGTGTGTGTGTGTGTGAAAACACTCTACACGAGAAAGGTGCAAGATCCTGTCAGGTGAGGGAGGAGAGCAGTCTCCATTCACCCACTAGGCTTTGCCTGGGGCGCAGGTCGAACGCTGTTCGCAGGGTCGATTCACGGCGGCCCCCGGGCTTCCTCGGGCCCCCGATTTTGCTCCTAGCCTTCATCCTCATATTCCCCAGTGTTGTTCTCCAGGTTCCCCAGCACTTTGCCTTGCCTTCCTTCGTCGGATTCCCCTGTCTTGCTCGATTCCCCAGCCTTTCTCTTCGCCTTCCTTCCTATCTGTGCAGTACTAAGCAATGCCAAACGACGCCACGCAATGCAAATCAATGCCAAGCAATGCCAGTCAGTTAAGGCCAGTCAATGCCGAGCATCGCCAAGTAATGCAAAGCAGCGGGAATCAATGCAAAGCTATGCAACGCAATGCATAGCAATGCATTGGAATGCATACCAACCCATAGCAATGCATAGCAATGCATAGCAATGCACAACAATGCCATTCAGCGCCCTCCAATGCAAAGCAATGTAATGCTCAGACTGACTGGACACCAGCATCCTGCATAGCAATGCATGCAAATCAATGACCATCAAAACTAAGCAATGCCAAGAAACGCCAAGCAATGAAAACCAAAACCAAACACGGCCAGTCAATGTCAAGCAATGCCAAGCAATCCAAAGCCGTTACCAATCAATGCCACGCAATTCCAAGCACATCCAAGCAATTCCACGCAATGTCAAGCAATGTCAAACAATGTCAAGGAATGCCAAGCAATGAAAAGCAATGCGAGACAATGCACAGCAATTCCACTCAATGCCACGCAGGGCGCCCATGCAACAGGAACCTTTGCCCTAATGGGGCCGCGCCAGCGTCATCTCGAGCAGTTGCAGATTGAAGATCGGGAGGGGGGGGGGACGGAGGCTGGAGGGGCGGAGGAGGAAGACGATGGGGGGATGAGAGGATGGAGGAGGAACGAGGGAGGGGGGAGACGGATGATGGAGGGGCGGGGGAGGAAGACGATGGGGGGATGAGAGGATGGAGGAGGAACGAGGGAGGGGGGAGGGGGGGGAACGGGGGCATTGTCACTGGTGGAGGGCGCAGGGGAGCTGGGCAGCGTGGAGGCCTGCGGGCCAATGGGTGGGAGGGGACCGGCGGGCGGCCGAGACCCGGCCACCCGCCGAGCTGCGCGGGGGATGCGGTGGCCGCCCCCGCGCGCCGCCGCGCGCGGCCCCTCGCCCTCACTTGCTCGCCCGCCGGCCTGCCGTCGAGGGCCGCCGACGCGACACTGGCTCGGGGATGGACAGACCTCCTGCCCTGACACGTCGATTGAGGAATTGGCCGTTTTCGGTTCGCGAGCGGGCGTCGAGGCCGTCATTGTTGCGGGTCCAGGTCCGTTGGTTTCGGTCCCAGGCCGTTTTCACTAAGGGGAGGTCTACTAAAGGGAGGTTTGTCCACCGCCGACTGGCAGGAATCGTGGCTAGCGCGCCGGACTGCTGTCGAGGGCAGCCGACGTGACACTGATAAAACGACGCGAAAATCGGGACAACATCGGACCGGGAGAACTCGAGATCTCTGAGAAGCGGCGGGTTTGGAGGATGTATTGGGCGCCGCGGCCGCTTCAGAGCGTTCCGGGACGCTCTGAGAGCGCCCCGGAACGCTCTGGAGCGATTTATCCCGATCCTAGCCCTGTTCTGGCAGGGATCGTGGCCAGGGCAGTCCGTGCCCCGCGCGGCCCTCCTGTGATTCCGAGCGTTCCTTCTGCGCAGCCAGCCTGCACAGGCACAGCCCGGCACAGGACCGCCGCGGAGCAGATGTGCAGGCCGTGGTGCGGACATGCATCAGGGTCGTCAGCATGGAGGACGGTCGGGCGTCAGGGAGAGGGGGGTAACCGCTCCACCCGGTCGCCGCCGAGCCAACAACTGCGAAGGTCTAGTGGCCTCGGCCCATCCCACCACCGTGCTGTCTTGGGGCCCTCCTGGGCCGTTCTGGGGCTCCTGGGCCCAGAGTCACGCGAGAAGACGCGCTGGGGCCCAGGAGGCACGCTGGGAGCCCCAGGAAGTTTGGAAATTTGGGGTCGGCCCCCGCATTCATTCAAGTCTGAGCACTGAGGACTGGTGACTGCAGAAGGACTGAGGACGCTCCAACTCGAGGCGACCTCCCTGTTCCTGAGAGGCGACCCTCCTGTCCTGGGCGGCGACCTCCCTGCTCCCGAGAGGCGACCCTCCTGTTCCTGGGAGGCCAGGGCCAGCCAGCTCAGTTCCATTTTGCTGGGGACGATGCAGGGGGAGGCAGAGGCCTCGCGGACGCCCGCCCCTCTCCCTGCAGCGACGCTCCAGCTCGTGCCTCGCGGCGCGGCGGCGGATCACCGCACGGGCGCGGCGAAGGCCATCGCGCTCCGCGCTCTGCGCCCCGCGCCCCGCGCTGATGGGCCTGTTTTCCGTCGCCGCCACCATCAGTTGGAGGGGGAGGGGGTCCTCCTCCTCCTCCTCCTCCTCCTCCTCCTCCTCCTCCTCCTCCTCCTCCCTCCTCCTCCTACTCCTCCCCCCCCTCCTCCTCCTCCTCCTCTCCTCCTCCTCCTCCTCCTCCTCCTCCTCCTCCTCCTCCTCCTCCTCCTCCTCCTCCTCCTCCTCCTCCTCCTCCTCCTCCTCCTCCTCCTCCTCCTCCTCCTCCTCCTCCTCCTCCTCCCCTCCCTCCTCCTCCTCCTCCTCCCCCCTCCTCCCCCCCCCTCCCTCCTCCTCCTCCTCCTCCTCCTCCTCCTCCTCCTCCTCCTCCTCCTCCTCCTCCTCCTCCTCCTCCTCCTCCTCCTCCTCCTCCTCCTCCTCCTCCTCCTCCTCCTCCTCCTCCTCCCCCTCCAACTTCTGGTGGGGATGGTGGTGGAGAGAGCGCCCATCGCGCGCTCCGCGGCCCAGGCCGTCGAGCCGCTGCTCCCCACGAGGGCAGCTCGAGGCCGCGGCGCGTCTCACCTGGCGCCGCGCCTCGCGGAGGGCGCGGGGTGCGAGAGCCGGGCGGCCCCGCCCGTCGCGGGTAAGCTGGCGCGCGCCGCAGGTGCGCGCGCGCGAACGTCCGGGATGTCGGGCACGCCGCCCAGGCGGCTGGGAGCGAATTTTGGTCTCGAGGCGTACTTGGATTCGATGCCGTCCCTTGCTGGTGATGTCTCCTCCTGTTTTTCTTCCTCCTCCTTTTCCTCCTCCTAGCGCTGACGCTGCCCGCATGACGGTCGATGACTTCTCCCCCTTCTGCTTCTCCTCCTCCTCCCCCTCCTTTTTCTTCTTTTCCTTCTTGTGCTCCTCCTTGCTTCTCCTCCTCCCCCTCTCCCTCCTCCTTCCCCTCCTCCCTTAGGGGAGGATGAGGCGGGGGGAGGGCAGCGGGCGGTAGAGGGAGAGGGGGGGGAGGGGAGGAGGGAGGGAGGGAAGGAGCAGGAGAGGGGGGGGAGCGGGTGGAGAGAAGATGGAAGGGATGGGAGGAGGGCGAGGATGGGTGCGCTGAGGGAGGGAAGAGGGCTGGGAGGACGGAGGTGATGACAAGGAGGACGAGAACGGGGGGAGGGGGGAAGGGGAGGAGATATGTACTGGAGGATAAGGAGGATGGACGAGGTGGAGGAGGAGAATGAGAAGAGGGAGCAGGAAAATGAGGAGGAGTAATCAGAGGCTGAGGACCCAAACCGATGCAACAGTGCTGGCATGACGACACTAGGCCAAAGGCCTGGGCCAGCGAGAGCCTGGGCAAACGGCAACACTCGAGCCCCCAGAGCACCCCTTGCGAACGCAGGAGCCCGACTGCGAGCCTGGTATCCTCCAGGACAGCTCCATGAATTGGCCAGCCTGGGCGTCGCAAGCCTGCAGATGAGCCCAGAGGGCGTCCATCCCAGGGGTGCTTCTAATCCCTGCGGAGTAGCTGCCAGACGAGGTCCCGTCCCTCCCGCTCGGTCAGGCACTCGATCGCCCCCTCTCTCAAGCGCAGGTCCTCCTGTGATGCCGCCTTTTCACGGCGCCTGCTGTGCTGCGGGTGCCGCCCAGGGCGGAGAGGCGGAGGCGCCGCAGCTGATGGGCCTTTCGGTCCGACATGGTGCGATTGCACCGCTTGTCCAGGAAAGGGCCTGAGCGCTGCTTCACACAGGCTCCACACAGCATGCAACGAAGCAAAGGACGGGAGAGAGTCATCCAAGCGGCCTGGAAGTCATGACAGGGGGCACACTCGCTGCCACATGCCGCACAATCGGAGGAAGACAGCGGGTGCCTTGGGCACTCCATCAAAACCAGGTCTGAACCAGCCTTGGCCACACAAAGACACCGAGGACGCCTCACCTTATATCTATCAACAGGCGGCCACTCGCGCCGCGACGTTTCGTGGGTTATGCTCTGCACCTTACATCTTCTGACAGTAGAAACAGGGAGCAATGACAGCACATTGGCCACCAGAGTGGCGACAGCCCGCAGCCTCTTGTCCATAAGACTCTTGCGCTCCTCGCTCAACGGGGAGCCGTGTAGATGGAGTCTGGTTGTTACGTGAGATGCGACCCCGAACCAAACTTCCGCGTCCGTTTATGAGGTTGCCGCGGCGATCGTGGCGGCCACGCATCGGGGCAAGGTTTTTGTCAAGGAGTGGCATGCCCATTCCCAGCAGAGCTGATGATTCATGATGCACAACATAGCGACAGAGAGTAGTCAATGTGTATCTAACCTGGGCAGTCACGTGTTTTGGCTAGGGGTCGATTAGCACGCAACCATCTGAGGGTGTCTGTCGCAATAAGTTTGGCGTCTTTATTATAAACAGCGGTTCTCTGGCCGCTTGGTGCCAGAGCCTGAATTGTTTCGACTGGCCTATGCGCAGGCGTATGCATAACATGCCACATGTTCACATGCCTCTCATGGGCGCCGCGCCGAAGCCCAGCGAAAACCTCAGTATGCGTAAGGTGCGCGACGTTTGGCTAATCGTTTGCACAAGCGCGCCGCACCCAACAATCAGACAAAGGTCGTGCGGGCCCTCCCTTGACAAGATCGAGAACAGCAATAATGAGGTGTTCAGCGAGCGAGGCTATCCCAAACGACCCCTTGGATCTGATTTGGATCGGACCTGATCTGCCTGCATCAGACTTGATACTTGCCAGTACGCACAAGGAAGCGGCAGAATAAGCTGTGCGGTCGAGCGGATAAAAAGTCGCAATGCGTGGCCTTGCCATCGATGCATACGTCACAGTCGGTACTGAACTCTTGTAAGTCCTCCTGGGAGATAGAAATCCCCTGGGCGTCCAGGGAGTCTGGCCATCATGCGTTCGAGGGAGCAGGGAACTCGCACGTGTCAGGTTGGAGAACGATGAGCGGTCGCACAGCGTGCCCTTGTCCGTGGATTCGAAGGTATGCTTGACGCGGCGGTCCTCCGTCCTCAGTCCCCCTGGCAGAAGACAGCCGATGAGGTGTTTCTGGAGAGGGCGGAGCGGAGACACCCGGCAGCGACGTCGGCAGAGGCTTCACGCCCCGACCTTCCGTCATGAGGATGAGGAGAACGAGGATGAGGGCGAGGATCCGGGCCGCGAAGGCGGGGAGGAGGAGGAGGAGGAGGAGGAGGAGGAGGAGGAGGAGGAGGAGGCGGAGGAGGAGGAGGAGGAGGAGGAGGAGGAGGAGGAGGAGTAGGAGGAGGAGCACGGCGCGGAACCGGGAGCGGAGGGAGCGGAAGGGGGGGGAGGGGCGACGGTGTGGGGCGGCGAGGGGCGGGGCGGCCGCGCCCCGAGAGGCCTGCGCGGCCTGGGCCAGAAGCTGTCCTCCCCCCTCAAGGGCTTCTCGGTGCAGAAGAAGGCCGACGGTCTGAAGAGGCGGTCCGGCCTCCTGCGCTTCCGCTTCGTCCTCCTGCTGCTGCGCGCGGGCACGGGATGCTCTCGTCCACCGCGCCTCTCTCTCCGCTCTCCTGCTCTCTCCCTCGCCCTCCTGCTCTCCCTACTCCCCCACGCTTTCGGTATCTGCTTCCCCGCCCCTTCCCCTACTCGCTCTCTCTCCCTCTCCTTCTCTCTCTCTTTCTGTCCGTCTCTCTCTCTCTCTCGCGCGCTGGCTTAAAAACACTTGGTGATGGACTCACTCTCTCCCTCTCTGCCTCTCTCTACCCTGCTCTACCTGCCTCTCCATCTACCCTTCCTTCCCCTCCCGCTTTCTTTTTCTTCTCCCATGTCTCGCTTCTCTGCTTTCCATTCCTCTTGCTGTGGCTCCTGCTCCTCCTCTCGCCTCATGCCTCACTCTTTCATCCCATCCTCTTCCCCTCTTCGAGGCGGGAGCCATAATGAGAATTAGAGGAGGATCGGATGAGGCATAGAAGGATGTGAGGGGGACGAGGGAGCAGAGACGAGAGACGAGAGAGGCAAGAGGGATGCCGAGATGAACGACGGTGTAGCACGAGGATCGTACCCTTTGCGCCAGCGGTGTTCAAGCGGAGCACTTAAGGGTCCCCAAGCGGCGGGAGACCTCCCCCAGGCCTCTAGTAGGTCTCCCGAGGGAGACCTCCAACAGGTCTTGGGGAGGCCTCCGTGAGGCATCCCCCCAGCCTGGGGGGAGGTCTGGGGGTATGCCTTCGGGAGGACCAGGGGAGGTCTCCCGGAGGCCTCTCCCCAGGCTGGGGGAACCTTTCCCCAGGAGGCCTCCCAGAGACCTCTGGGAGTTCTCCCAAGGCAGGCCTCCTGGAGGTCTGGGGGAGACCTCCCGGGAGGTCTCCCCCGAGCCTGGGGGGTGGCCCGCGGGAAGCCGCCCCTGGTCCTCCCAGAGGTCTCGGGGAGGCACCCCGCCGGGCCTGGTGGAGGACCAGGGGAGGCTTATGCCACGCATCGAATTTCGATGCAGAATGCAGCTCGGGAGCAGCTTCCGGTCTTTATAAATCTCGTAATTCACAGGTGGATGTTGGCTGCCAATGGGAGTACCACCGCCGATGAACTAACAAAACGCATTAAAGGACGGATGTGCGCGGCGGCAGTACAGCGAGAGCGCTATTTTGAGAATGACTTCCTCCATCCTTGAAGCTCGCGCGGCCTTTAAGGAAGAATGGGCGCGGCGCTAAGGCGAAAGATCCATGTTTGAAAACTTTCACCCGCCTATTATTCAAACTGTTTCACATGCCAGGACTCATGTGCATAAATGATGGCGCACGCTTCTGGGGGTGCAGCAAGGAGGAGCTGTTCTTCAGGAAATGGGACGGCTGGAGGTCGGTCCTAGGGGCGAGGGGGTGGATGTGGGTCCGTCCCGCCACCGTGCCTGTGCCGTGGACCAGGGGCCTCTCAGAGGCACCTTGCGTTCTCTTGAGGCCCTCGTGGAGGCCTCCTGGACGCCTTTTCGGGATCTCTTGGGCCCTCTCGGGGGCCCCTTGGGGGCCGTCTTGAGGGCCTCTTGGGCCTTCTCAGGGGCCTGGGGGCCGTCTTGGGGAGACCTTGGCGACATCTTGGGCCACTTGTCAACACGTTGAGCATACTAGGACTGTAGAACACATGCCTGCACCCCCCCGTAGGGCCCGGCTCGGGGCGCGCCCAAGAGGCTTCCAGGCCCGGCCGCGGTGCCATCCGAGGCCACGTTGGAAGTGCGGACCCCCGCAGGACGTGCCCAAGGACCCCTGAAGCGCCGCGAGAGGGCCTCCAGTTCTCAGTCTTCGGGCCCGCGTGTTTCGGCGCAGTCCTCAGCCCAGGGAGCTCGAAGGGGGCCCGGGGGCACTTCACCCAGTGCCTCGCGGTTCGGTGGCATATACAGCAGTGTGGGGCATGAGGAAGGAGGACGAGGGAGGAGGATGAGGAAGAGGGGGGGAGGAGGAGGAGGAGGAGGAGGAGGAGGAGGAGGAGGAGGAGGAGGAGGAGGAGGAGGAGGAGGAGAGGAGGGAGGGAGGGGAGGGGGAGGGGGAGGGGGAGGGGGAGGATGAGGGAGGGGGATGGGGAGGAGGATGAGGATGAGATGAGGATGAGGATGAGGATGATGATGATGATGATGATGATGATGATGATGATGATGATGATGATGATGATGATGATGATGATGATGATGCTGATGATGATGATGATGATGATGATGATAATGATACTGATGATGCTGCTGCTGCGGATGATTGCTGATGATGCTGATGATGCTGATGATGATGATGATGATGATGATGATGATGATGATGATGATGATGATGATGATGATGATGATGCTGATGCTGCTGATGATGATGATGATGATGATGAGGAGGAGGAGGAGGAGGAGGAGGAGGAGGAGGAGGAGGAGGAGGGGGGGAGCATGAGCGAGAGGCTTCATGACCTCCGAGGCGGGCCCAGAAGAGGCTGGCCAGCAAGCCGAAGGGTCAGGACGAGTATTTCGCGGAGCCCGACGCGATCTTCGTGCCGCAGAAGGCCCGAGCCTGCGCGCCCTGTGTGTTTCTGCGAGACTGCACGGCTTCCCCCCTAGAAGGGCCTTGTGCCCGCCCTCCAGAGCCGCTGCGGCCATGCACTCACCGCGGGTGCGCCGCGGAGCGGCGTCAGAAGCCACGTGTGGGCGCGGTGGATCCGAACGGGCGGGGGCAGTGCGCGTGCGAGCCGCAGCTTGCTTCGCGGGGTGACCGTGCTGGCCCTCGTGCGGCGTCTTCTGCACCGTTTACACCGTCGTCGGTGTCGGCGTCGGCGTCGGTGTCGGCGTGGACGTGGTCGTGGTCGTGGTCGTAGCGTCGTAGTCGTGGTCGTGGTCGTCGTCGTTGTCGTCGTCGTCGTCGCCGTCGTCGCCACCTCAAAACAACATCGGAGGTCCGGGTCCGCGGTGCGTAGCCTTTCTCGGCGGCGCGGGTTCCCCCTCGACCCCGCCGTCGCTTCGGGGAGGGGCGCTTGGGAGGCCCGGGGCAATCGGGTTGGGCTCCCGCGGCGGAGTCAGGAGCAGGGTGGTCCATCGTGGGGGCGGGACTATCCGCGCTTCAGGGCCAGATTTGCTCGGGGCCACGGTGGACGATTTGCGCCATGCGATCCTCGCAGGTGAAGGTACCCTCTGCCCTTGTTCTCGGTGCCGCCGACCCCGTGCATCTATGTATACACGCACACGTATGAATCTATGCATGCATGCGTGCATACATAGTTGCAGGTGTATGCGTACGTGTGGTTTGTACGTTGTATACGCATAGCTATGCCATTCGATTTATTACATGCGCATCTATATATAGCAGGGGGAGCCGGCGGGCCAGCCACATTCGGGGCCCATGCCGTGTAGCAGATCGTGTTGAGCGGGTCGGGCGAGAGGGGTCAGGACTGTGGAAAGGGGGATACTGGCGTGAAGCCTGCTGCGAGCAGCTTGTTCTTGGGTTCCGCCGCTAGGCGCACTCCTCGATATTTTGGCGCCTCTGGCTCTGGGAGGCGGCTGGAAAACCATCCGCGTGCGGGGAAGTGGAGGAAGAGGAAGAGGGGTGGAGGAGAAGGTTAGCGCCTCCCCCGCCTCCGTTTGCCCCTCTGGCGGGTTTCCTTTCCGTCCAGCTCCCTCTCCCCCTCTTCCTCTTCTTGGCGCAGCTCCCCCTCGTCCCCATCCGCTGCCTCCCTCCCCGAGGGGGAGGAGGCGGATGGAGACGAGGGGTACGTATGCGATTCGAGCCACAGTGTTGCTACGACAAGGGAATTGCCAGCAGCGGAGGACTCTTCTTCTCTCCCACGCGGCGGCTGCGAGGAGGACCCCTTTTCCACGACGGACCAGAAGAAGATGGTCGTTGTCACCAAAGACGAGTTTTCCTCCTCTGGGAGCTCGTCAGGGGACCGCCTCTTGGCCGTAAGCAGAGCTCTCTTCCCTCGCGTAACTTCTGCTTGATATGGACTGGGAGGAAACGGAGGACAACGAGGATGAGCAGGAGGGGGGTCGTATGAGCTAGGGGGAAAGGTGACGGTAGGAGAAACCATAATGGTCCATGATGACGAAAACGATGATGATGATGCTGATGATGATGATGATGAGGAGGAGGAGGATGAGGATGAGGATGATGATGCTGATGATGCTGATGATGCTGATGATGCTGATGATGATGCTGATGC